GGGGGGGGGGGGGGGGGTAGGAGGCGTATCGGACAATTTCCCACGAGGCGCACGTGATGTACGGATGAAAATCGCGAGTGCCCGGTATGTTTACGTCTGCGCGTCCACCGGCACCATAATGTAACTCGGACCTCTAGAACGAGACCGCCAGAATTTAAAATTTATCGATTTAGCGGAGTTAAGATCGCTTTCGGGCACCCAGCAATAAATCGGTTCTATCCGACGGAAGAACGCGACATTCAATATCATTTCGCCATTAAAAATATGTGTCGACATTATAGTAATTGTTCAACTTTCGGCCGATTTTCAAAGCAACGGAGTCACATTTACTGTACGACTGTATACATTTTGAAATTTATCCATTTAACTACTTAAGCCGAAACTGAAGACTGTCTAATGTCGATCTGTGACGTTTTTGCGCTACATAAAAAAAAAAAAAACGATTTTCTGACGATAACAATATGTTCAGTACAACACTACCATATTTCAGTGTATCTTAAAATTAAGTTGTATACGCAATACGCAACACTGTAACAGTCACATCGCAGAATACGGTAGTCTTGCATTCGCCTGAAAAATTGTTAAAGACCATTAGTGCGAATTTTCGGGTTTAAGCGAATATTTCATTATATTTAAAAAGTGATCATACTGTAAAGCGTGTTGGCGAGTATTCGAGTTTTTCGTTTCGAACGAAGCACCGGCGAATATCTTAGTTATAAACTACAAATCGTTTTTTTTTCTCAGACTATACATTTTTTAGCTGTGGCAGTATTGTCCTAGAGGTGTGTATTATACCGCCGGTTTTTGTGGGCCATTTTCCGTAATTCGCCGTTCGGGCCGAATCGACTCGACGGTTAACGAAATTATCGTCTTTTATCATTGCGCTTGAAAAATCTAAATATCAGAATGCAAATTTAACCATGAAAACGGGGTGAGCGATTAGCATGCTTAAAAAATCGCACAGGAGATATGTCTCCCTCGCTTTCCCCCCTCCCCTCCCAGTTTGACTATTAATTCATTTATTGTTATCGATTAATACCAAACGCACCGAATATCGCTGACGTTCTTCTCGTCAACCTACCCACACACACCCACCGTACCGAATTTCAAACGCGACGTCTAGGCGCAGTGGGGGCGCCGACATTTTTCCTCCGCGAAACCACTTTTTTTTTTTAAAACCACGCACCCACCGACCAATTTTGTTTTGTAAACGAGTATTCTGCAAAAATCAAATGATTATATTGGTAGAATACATCGCGCAGTCATAATAATTTTTTATCGACAATACTCGGCCATACGGGGGTACAAATCGCGATTTTTACACAAAGTGGCCGTTTCATAGAATATCTATTCGCGCCTGTTTAGCTACTGCGTTTAGTCGTATCCATTAGTTAAAAAAACGGATCTACGCAAACGGCGCGGCTGATGTCCCGTCTTTTTGTCTCCCGGGTAGTAGGTTTAGTAGTATGAAAATAAAATTCCGAATTTTAAACGCGGAAAATTCCGATTGCGGATTTTGACATTTGGACGGTTTTGGACGTCTGTATTCAGTGGCGTGCCCGGGAATTTTCAAAGCGAGAGGATGTTACAAATAAAAATCGTGAACAGACAATAAAATCGTCTTCTTCATCCAACTCGACTATGGCGATCGGTGTTTTTCAAGTCGGATCCCAAAAAAAAAAAAACCAATTTCTATTAATCAATACATCAAGGTTTACGACGAAGGAAAACGACTGCAATTTATGTTTCGATATTGGATCACTCATATTTTATCGTATGTTTAAGCCAATGGGAGGGACATAACCTTTCACCTCCCACCCGCTGCGCACGCCGCTGTCTATATAATAAATATTGCGTTATATTTTCGCATTTGCCTGCGCGTAAAAACCGCGCGATACGGTCCGGTTCGGATTCCGAAAATCCCGGTTACCCAACTCCGGCGGCAGAACCGCAATTTCCCGGCGCCGTAACGCGCGCGCACGCGCGAAATTTCGGCGGGAAAAATCGCCCGCCGGCCGGCGATTGGAACCGATCCGGACGAACGGGGCCGCCGACGTTATTAAAATCAGGTCGGCGGGCGCAAATACGTTTTCGCCATCTCTGTCGGCCGTCCGCCCGCCCGCTCATTCACTCGCCGTCCCGTTCGCCGCCCGTGTCCGCGTGACGTTTCGACGGCGAAAACCGCGCGCGCCCTTGAGACGAACGCTCGCCGCGTGCCGATCCGCGAGCCGTCCTCGGCGGCGCACGCCCGCTGCGCGTCGTTATTGGTCGCTTAGAAAAATGACGACGACGACGACGGTGGCGGTCGAAAATCCTTCGGCGTCGCCGGCACCGTCATCGCGCGCCCGAGTCGCAGGCATTATTATTATTATTATTATTTCGGCGAGTTCATTATTACGATACGATAATAATTGTCTTTCGATATACCTACCGTATTATGAATAACAACAATAATATTATGCACGCGTATTATACCGGCCTGCGTATTATTATTACCTATTATCATCATCATCATTATTATTATTATTATTATTATGCGTTTTTCCGACCCTTGTCGATCTTATCTCTCGAATCGATTTACACAAACGCCGCGTGCTACTATACGATAATAATAATAATATTATTATTGTTGTTGTTGTTATAACGCGAGTATGATATTCTGCCGCCGTTAGCCGCACCGCAATACACCTACCCGGTAATAATGATTAACCGTCGCGCGCCGCTGCGGAAATATTTACAATATTTTTATTGCTGTTCGGAGGCCGCGTGAACGCGATGACTGTGCGAGAAATCTGCACGCCGCGCGCGCTGTACGCCTCCGCGAAGCTGACAGTACGACGTGTGCGGAACGTACCGACATCACGAACGCGCCCGACAACGTTCAAATAGGCTTTTGCTGGCGCCCTCCTCGGGTGTCCCGCGTTCGATTCCGCGCCGCCAACTTCGCGCCTTAGCATAGCATTTCCGCAATGGCCGTTGAAAACCCGTCCGACAGTGTCGTATTGGCAATGGCTGGCCTTCTGGCAGAAAAGCCGTCCGTACGCTAAACACTCGAGAAACCCAGCACCGTAGTTAAACCAATACCCCCTGAACGCAAAACGTAAACGTGGATTAAATAAAAAACGGGACCCGAACGGATTCCAACGAGTTTAAAACAATGTCCAACAAGTGTGAACGTAGAACATCTTAAGAAGGAGAGGGTTCGAAAAAATTTCAACAGCATTCAACAAGCCTGTTTGAATACCGTTGGATATGTTTCGTAAAGTTCTGCGCGCAATGGAATGCAGGCCTCGTGTGGAATTTTCCACGACAGGAGACGTAAAAATCGCGAGCACGCCGAAGAATCGTTTTCCCCGTCCGATTTCACTGTACGGGAACCTGAAATCCGAAAGCCCGATTTTTAATCAACCAATCGAGCTTTTTCTCGTGACCCGGCTGAAATATATTCGGTACGTTTCACGGTTGAATCGCAGAATCGTAAATAAATATCCATAGCCGTTGTATTTTCAATCTCACAGTGGGAGTGGGTGGGAGGTGGGTGGGTGGTTATAACCACACTAACCTACCAGCCACTGCGCATGCCAATGCATATATATTCAATAACGATGTACCATAATATTTAATAGTATCATAAATACCTACGAGGTCTATGCCAACGGATATAACGAAAATATAATACAATTTTTCGATGGTCGACTGTAAAAATATGCTGTTTATTACTCCGCGGACTCTGTGCTGGACGAAACGTTACAAGTCAATGCGTTTTACGTTTGATTGCATTAGTTAAAGGAAAACAAAATTGTTACGGTCGGTAGGAACGGATTCAAAACAACTCGTTCTTTTGACTTCGTTCGCTTTTCGGGGATTTTTCGGGTGAACGAACGTAACGGAATTTCTTTCATTTATCGGATAAACATGAACGAGTATTTTTCGTTACACCGGCATAATTTAACATTTCGGATAGTAAATATTTCAATCGGGTCTGGTGGGACCTATGGAAATTATTAAAATAAGCACGCACCTATATGTGAATGAAAAATGTAAAAATATTCTGTATAATTTATAACGTTTTAATTAAAAAGAAAAGAGAAATAAATTTTAGTTAATACACTATACACGGGTCGCAGAATAAAACAAAAATAGTTATTAAAATATTATATTTTGGCTTTTTTTTTTTTTTTCTGTGAGTTTCGTATTTTTCAAAGACGACTCGATTATACAGTCGAAATTCCAATGTCGGGAATAACATTGTTTTATTATTGCTCAAGACGAAAAAATAATAAATAATAATATGACATTTCGTTTCGTTATGGTTTGATTATCCAGAAGAGGCATCCATGCATCATACAGACGGAAACGCTAATATTCGGACATTTGTTTGCTATAAACTGATATGTGTCACGTCAAATGTGGTCTTTAACAAGAGGAAGTGCATGCTTCGTCCGAAATGTGTGCCAAATCCGAATAAAATATGAGCTGATACCGCTGATGTTTGTGCGGTGTATCAATGTTGTGGGTGAAGAAAGTCGGGAAGATACAGAATATATAAATTTATTTAATTTATATCTGTACGTAACGATAAATCAACGATAACGGCATACGATTCTAAGCTACGACTCCAAAATTTCACAAAAAAAAAACTAATTATTTTTGACATTAATATTTGCAAATTCAAAGTGCATATTCATTCCAAGTAAAATAAGTATGGTAAAAAAAAAAAAAGAAAACGCCCTAGAATAATGGGGACGGGTGCAGCAACTGTTATAGTTAATTTAATGTGTATCTGTAAGCAACGATAAATCATTGCTAACGAAAACCGATTTTGAGCAAAGTTCAGTTGATAGTGATGCTTTGTCAACATTATATTTATATATATATGTCATATTATCGTAAGATAATTGAATAAGCATTATATATTCTCTTTAGTTATATTTATTAAATGTACCAATTTTCCTGTTTTTCCCATATTTTTTAGATATGTTAATTACAGATACAAAATTGGACCTGTTAGTACTGGCCCAGTAGCCAAGAAATTACAGATCCATCAACGCTAACGAGCGTTCAAGCAATATCAATTTTTTTTGAACGGGCCTTTAGTGTACGTTTATGCAACCCATCCTAGGTCTTGAAGAGGAAAAGTTTTTGCGTAAAGCGTGAAGATCCAGATAGGACTGAATTAGCGAGGGAGATCCGGAGAGAGGAACGCGGAACTGGGATCTGCCCATGGTCCAACAGGTTCGGTCGCACAGAAAAGTCTGTCTGGACTCGTAGCTTCTTGGTGAATCTAATGAGGTGGGTAATGAGACGTTTTAAAGACTTAACCTACCTTATAACGCAGGGTATAATGGATCATGGACCATCAGACACGGTGTCATCTGCATCTAATGGGGCACGCACCAAACGCAGAGTCCTCCGGAACCTTCCCGTCAGGCAGTAAGGGTGATCGAGAATGGCTTCAAGCAATTTTTAGTGTCTAAAGATCGGTAACGCGGCTCAAAAATACAACAAAAAAGATCCCTTATTATATTTTTTATTGAAGGAAGATTTCTGTTAGGAAAGTTGTTTATAGACAGAAAAAAACATAAATCATAGTAAAAGCAATACATCTCTTGCTACGTTCATAATCTAAAAAAATGTCCAAAATACAATATGTCATATTTGAAATATGGCGTTTTTATGTTTTTTTAAGAGATAATAAGATATCACTTGGTAAAACTGTAATAGCTTATTTGACACATTTAGAATCTAAAGTAAACATATTAATAAAGCAATATGTTATTTATAAGTTAAGACAGTAAAACCCTGTGTTTAATATTCGATTTTTAAAAATTATTTTTTTGGCATTATTTTCTGCGGTAGTTCCTCTCTTAACCTTGACCATTGTTATACGAACATTTAAAATTTGCGTTTCCCGTGTACGCGTGTTTAATAACAGTTAGCTAAAATTAACATCTACAATAATTCACTCACTGGCTTATGATAATAGTTCACGATTACGCGTATAATAATATTTCTATTACTCTGCAGACTAGGGTAAAAACGTGAAATATACTTTTCAAATGTGTTTGAAAATATTACGTATACATGTTTAATCGAAATAAACGTCAGTAATTTCATTGGTTTTAGGCTCGGAATTTTACGTTTTGTATACAAGTCGATGTCCTTCATAAATTTCGGTGTAAAATGAATTATTTTATATTTTACGATCGAGTACGCCGATGACAAAGCGTTTCGTGCTGAAAAAGAAAATGAAGATCTACAAAATATACCTACAGTAGTGGACAGAATATTTAAAGAATATAATAGTGTATGGAACACAATTATTGAACAAAAGGAATATAAAAGTCATACTGACGTGTTGTGCTGTACTGTAAAACTGTAGCCGTTTGACCAACATTATTAGTTTGGACAACAAGCAGATAGAACAAGTGCCTGACTTCGTATACCTAGGGCGTAGTATAACAAAGACTGGTCGCAGCAAAACCAAAGTTGTTGTAAACCAAAAGTTGTAGAATCGTGCAGGACGAAAGAGACTTCCAAGGTAAAAGCCATCTGCTTGTTACTAATAGCCGTCTGACCGTAAAAGCAATTCTTAAACATCCATGTATGAAGTGTGAAATTATTTGACGATGAATTACAGACAGCTCAGTTGAAAAAAATTAATTTGAGGCATTCGAGACGTGACACTTTAGAAAAACGTGAGAAATCTCATGTAAATCACTGTAAGAGTTACAAGCGAAGCGGGTATTTAAATAGAATAAACGAAAAACGATTACTTGGCGCTAAAAAGTACAACGGGGAATAAAATTATAATTTATAACTTGTAGCGTCCCAACAACGTTCAAAACAAACTTTTTACAAAATATAATAATACTTTTGCAGATATTAAGAGGTCGGTCGTTAAATTTCGATCTTGTATTGTTTAAATTGTAAATGTTTAACATCCCTGCAGCTGTGAGAAGCATACGCGGTGGCGGCTCGCCGTTCTGTTAAAAAAAAGAAGATACCGGTCTTTGAATGTCTATGAATGAATAATAAATACATTAAATACAATACACGCGTACGTCACTCTGTACTGCAACAATCACCCAGCTGACTGTCCCGCATCCCGATGAGAACACCAAAATGCATAATCGCGCACAGGTATAATACGAATACATTTGTATTATTTTTATATGCTTGTAGTTTTGACTGGTTAACATAAAAACCTATTTATCGGAGAAACTGTTAGGTTTACTTAATTCAAAATACACCCGTAATAGATAATTCTCTCCTCTACGGTTTTTATTTGAAACTTTTTATCATTCGAACGATATAAAGCGAAATACATACATTAATGGTCGGACTATTTATTTAGTAAATAAATAAAAAATAAAAAATAATATTTATGTAAAAGTTAGCAGACTATGACACTATTCTTGGTATTTCAATTTTATCATTATAATTTGTTTAATATTTTAGTTTTCGATTTTGGACATTTTTCCTAGTAGGTACATATTGTTATATCTGACGGTGGTCTCAATAGTATGTGCGTTTTACCCGTGTCATTCAGTACACGGATATTTATTTTTGATATTCATGTATCACGCGTGTTAAATAGGTATTACACGGTCTCCGGCATGAAATTTTTAATTTCACGTGTACACGTTCAGGAACGTAGTAACCAAATATCGTACCCGGCGCAGTGCTTTAAAACGCTTCCTTATGAAAAAAATGTGTGATGAAAACTCAAAGTTAAACAAACTACAATCAGACGAGCGTTCTAACTATCTCACTTTTGGGATTTCTAAATTTCAAATTTCAGATTCTGAGTGTAGTGAAGAATGTATTGATTTTACAAAGATGTTTTTTTTTTTTTTTTTGAAAGACTTTTTTCTGAAAGGAAATTTTCTAGGGGTGATATTTTAGGGAGGTCATTTTTCGATTTTCTCAAGAGTTTTTTCATCAAATGTGAAAAACCGTGGTTTTTTTTTTGCTGATTAATTTCTGTAATATTTATAGGTTGTTAGTGGACTTTTGCGACCTCCCGGGTATCGGGCCCGGGGCGTAGGCACTGCTTGCTCTCCCCTTTTCTACGGTTCTGTACACGTGTAATAAACGGCCGTAATATCTACACCCCGTGCATTAAACATTATCGCTACAATGTATTATCATTCTACCGGTGTGTGGGTTTTCCGTGGGAATAAACATTATACAAACGTAGAGAATTTTACTGCGTATAGGATACCTGTAAAAAATAATAAACAAAAAAAATAAACCGCCCGAATAAAAATCCCCGTGAACGCGTCACTACGGAAAACGCCACTATTTATAAAGCACACTCTTGTAATGGTAACGATGAATACGTTTCAAACCCGAATTTCCACAACCTAGGCACTGCTATTTAAACAACGTCTACAGCTCATTACTTGTACTCTGCCACCACCACCGCTACTTGAATCAAAATCCGTCGTAATGGGATACACACATAATTGTGTGCGTACGTTTTCCCGTAGACGTGTGTTCTATTGCCGGTGAAATTCCATTATAAGTGTTCGATTTAATCTCCTTTTGGAAATTTTTTTTTTTTTTTTTCCGTTTAATAATATCCCATGCTCGCGTTTGTGTCCGCGCGTGTTTTTGTGCACTGACCTGAATTTCTGGTTTTTAACGCGACGCGAATACGATCTAAATGCGAATATCGTATTTCGTTCGTATAATATATTATAGGTATTATTATTTTATTATTATACGTGTAAACGCCGCGCACTGCCGCCGTGTGCGACGCGCATTATATTTTCAACTCCTACGTCCCACGTTAATCTCGTTTGCGACGCGTTTCGTAACCCAACGATCACTGTACGATTATGTATTACGCGTGTGGTTATACTTATAATATCCGGAATACGTAAAACCGAGTGCAATATTCCCATACAGGTACACGAAGTGTACAATACGTAAGTCGAATATTACACGGCGGTGTCAGTATATTTACAATACGGGTTGGGTTACGGAGCGTTATTTATTTCCGAACCGAAATTTTTACATTTTTTTTTATTATTATTATTATTTTTTTTTTTTTTGCCGAAGTTTCCCCGACATTAGACATTAGACATTGTCGCGCTGTTATCATTAACACGTATAGCATCGGAGCAAGTGAACGCAATATCAACTTTTGTTGTTGCGCCGTACTGTGTGTGTTATTGATTCGTGCCGTCTTTTCTGACATGAATTCAGTGTTTAGCGTTTTTATAGGCGTGTCGGAGCGATTGGATTCCGGTTGAATTTTAATACGAACATCACCGTGTCGTTGCGGCGAGAGGTTGTATTGTAGTTGTAAGCTTTGCACACCCCCTACAGACCGCCAAATGTAACCGGGAGAACGATAATTTGTGCGTGCGAGTACCGAGTATATGTCTTTTGGTTGTCTTAACTTTTAACCCTGTCTCCAACCAATCTTACGCTCAGATTTCGAGGTTTCACAGGAAATAGCGGGTTTCAAATACTCCTGCAGGCCCGTCAATGTAAGTGACTTGGTCAACTTGGTCAATATCCGGGCACGTACACAAAAAAAAAAAAATTTGGACGATCGGGTTCATAAAAAATTTACATTAATCGATATTTATAAAAAAAAAATATTGAATTGATATAAATAAAATTACACAACTAATAATTTTCGGTGGGGGGATTTAAACGTGCCTGAACATATCTATGTAAAAAATAAAACCGTTGTCGAGGATGTGCCTTTAGAACGTTTGGATTTCTAACTCCCGACCTCACTGTCTATTTGTATGTTGGCACAAATTACGAGAACTATTCAATTTATTTTGATAAAACAAGTTATGTTAAATTCGTTATGAAACAAAAAAAAAAAAAAAAAAAATCGTTAAATATTGTAACGGCAATTAGTCAACTGGGGGAAACTCTGGTGACGAATTTCTGATGCTTATGAGTTTTTTTATTTCGTAAACAGTGCATAATATTATACTTATTATATTCGTAAACGTAATTTATATAGCAGTGACGTATAAACAAAGTGTATTATAACATGCATGCATGCGGTTTCTAAATTAAGTAATCTACATTCAGTATAGTTACTTATTATATGAAATTTAGTCAATAAATACAAGTGAAAAATGTGCAACAAATAATCAAGATTGATTGGGACTTATTGATATAGATATAATTCGATTTATTCTTATATTCGGTAATGGATTTTACATTAAAATATTATGTTAGTTTTTTCGTTGTTTATTATTTTACAAGCTCCAATTCGACTGTGAAAAAATTACTTAAAAGAACCATTAAGTTAAATTTGACCCGCAAAATAGTTGGTAAACATGCACAAAAGTGGGTAGCAAAATAATTATACTTGAAAAATTTGCGAATTTGCAAATGTACTATATAAGAGCCTTGTAAAATAGTAGTTTGCGAGCGGAGCGAACGGCTATTGGAATGGTTGAATCTAATTAGTTTTACGCTGATAAAATCACAGTATTCGTTGCTTACATTCATAAATACGCGTATATCCAACATTTTTTTTTTTTTTTTTTTATACTAAAACAATACTGGTAAGGTGAGTCTCGCGTTGCGAGATCACGTAGAATAAATCACAAGGACGAAAAATGAAATTTGAAAGATCGAAAACCGCTACAATACATCTACTTTGAATTCAAATTTGACTTATACTTTTATGATTCTCACTGATAGGCAATAATGCTTATTGTTTTTAATTTTTCATATCCATTTTTCGTAGTTTTTAGAATCTGAGTGTAATACATTACTATAATAATACGATGTGAGCTTTTGTTAGCAATGTGTAAACAACTTTTATATAAGAAATCTTGATTCGATTTTCAAGTGTACTTAGTATATTTTTCGGAAGACAATTTTATCTTGATTTTCGTATAGTATATTTTTAACAATTAAAAAAAATCGGGAAAATGAAAATATTTACATCAAAGCGGTTTTTTATTTTCGATTTTGTTTTACTGTTGTTAATCGGTTAAAAATATAATGTAGAGACTCGAAATTTTCATAGAATTCGTTCTGGTGATTTTGAGCTATTTATTATTGGTATTTAAAATTGCCGGGTTTTAAAATGTTGGTTTTATGTTTTATCAAATTGTTTAGGTCGATCATCGAAAAATTAACACGAGGTTTATCATGAGTCGAAATGCTTCCCGAAGACACCTGAAGGACGTTTCTGTTAAAAAATAGTCCCTCGGTTATATCTGACGGTCACGTTTTCAAGTATAATAATAGGTACTCTAGCCAAAAAACGTCCGCTAATTTTGTCACAGAAAACTACAATACGCACAAACATTATTATATAATACGCGGCAGTCAAACCAAAAACATTTGTCATTTTATCGAATATTACGCAGTACTTGTAGTAGCAGGTGTACTATTATTAAAACATAACATTGCAGGATCGTATTAAGCACGAAACACGTGACGTAAAATTGTTATTCGTGTTACCGTTTGAAAAAAACATTAGAAGATAAATAAAGATTATTTTTCATAAGAGCGTTGTATTATTGTTTTACAGATCTATTTTCAATCACAATAACATCACAAAAAACATCAAATTATATTAGCGCCGTAGTAGAAAATGGCGAATCTCCGAGAAAAAATGCCAGCCAATTTTTACACGGAAAATTTTCCGTGAATTTCCGTAGAATTTATGCTATAACTGTACGTTCAACACAGTGCATATGCATGTAGACGTGTATTTCTAAATTAAAATATTCAAATCTTGTATCGAATTCAGTGATATGCTCAGCTTATTCTTAGGGGGGGGGGAAGGAGGAAATAATATTATTATTATATTTATAGTAATTAAGAGATGTTTTTAACAATTTGTTTTCATCATACAATAGTTAACACACGTACCTATTCGAATATTTAAACTTATAATATAATTATAAAATTATAGTATAAATTAAAGTTTTCTTAGTTTTTTGGATAATTTATTTATAACTTTATCTGGTATAATATTGACACCTTTGCGGACAGTTAATAAAACTAATCCATTTAAACGCTTCTGAAATAAAATTCAAACACTTTTAAATGGACATTTAGATTAATAAGTTTATTAGTATATTACTGCATTTTCCTCTGGTATGTTTCCATCCGTATTGATTTTGAATATGTTCGTATTGCAGTTGACGTTTAGACGAGTAATGAACATAAAATCTTCCAAAAATTGTTTAATTTGGGATAAATAGAGGAACTACGGACTTGAATAGCGTCTGTACCTGTATAATATTATTATAATCATTTGCATATTAAAGTAAATCAAAATCGATTTTTGGATTTTTTTTTTTTTTTTATTCAGAGTGTAATAACATAAAGAAGTTTTTGTTGAAATCAGAACTAACTAATATTTTGGGTTTGGAAGAAATAGTCGAATAACGTATCTTATTCGGATACATAAACATCATATTTTAACTTTGGAATAATATAGTTTGTTTAATACTATTTTATATTTTTTTACTTACTGAAACTCTGAAACTAAAATAATTAAAAAAAAATAAATACCGATGGGGGGAGAGCTGAGGGGAATGGTAAAATGAGTGCAATGATTATAACGTCAGATTATTGTTATAAATAACAAAATATTTAATAAAGTTTTAAAGTTTACTTTTTTTCTATGTGAATTCTTGGAATAATTTCGACATCTCCATTCATGTCCGCCAATGCAATTAACTTCAAACATAACTTGAGACTTTGAGAGGATGTCCATGAACGCATTTTAATTTGTTATGTTTGGCAATTAGCGTCCAAGACTGCAATTTTTCAATTACTCCTAAAGAAACAGCCTCTTGGCATTTTCGCTCAAACAGCTCATAAATATCGAAAAAATATTAATTAGTTCTGATTTCACCAAAAACTTCTTTACGTTATTACACACCGAATGAAAAATAAAGTCTAAAAAATCAATTTTAATTTAATTTAATATGCAAATGATTAAAATAATATTATTATTAGGTTTTACGTGGTTTATTAACAATAACATAAAAAGTAATTACGATAGGTGAATTCTGATTTCAGCAAAATGTTAAGCATGTAATTAATACCATCTATATAAAAAAAAAAATCCAAAAATGTAAATTTTTGATATTTGAAACTCAAAAACACGGTTGCTAGGAAAATCGAGCATTTTGAAGTTTTTTCACCATAAGTTTCAAATGAAGTTTGAGCGGCTTTTTTCGAAGGCATGCAAAAACACATATTTTTTGGAACAAAATTCCAAAAGATCGTTTGGGAGCTAATTTGCATTTATGCCGCACAAAATAAATACAACTAAAAGTTCGTGGATATATAATATCGATATCCGTGATCGTGGTTAAAGTTTATGACATTTGTAAAAATATGAAGACCAGTGACGCATAGGCGTACTCAAGAATTTTTCGCGGAGCGTGTAGAATAATTTTGGTAGGGACTCTACTGCAATCCAATAAGACAATTGCCTCTGTATTACAATAATTCAAATTTAGTTTGTAATTTGTATTTGTACACATCTGTGCATTCATAATGAAAAGAATAATAATATAAGTTTAATAACATTGTTTAAAACTTTTATTTATTGCCTGCATTGGTTTATAACTTAAAGACAATTATTAATTTACAAACTGATTTTACACAGGCGTGATTATTTTATACCAAAAACGTCGGTTATGAAATGAAATACCAGTGTACATCGGAACGCAATCACGACAGTACGGCGCTTTAACACTTTAGTGTATAAACGAACTTTTTAAAACAAATAAAGTTAACGACTGACGAGTTATCAGTTTTTAATATATACAAAATTTTTTTCATTTGTACCTATATTATATTTATTATATGCATTTTAACTACAATAAATAACTACAACATTTGCAAACGAATCATAAAATTTAAAGGAAACACAATTGTGTTTGGCCGGTGAGCAGTTGCGAATGGAATTTAGTGTGTCGCAAATTCATAAGGCCGTGAGATTGAAAAATACTGTCTGAAGTAGATAGATTGAATTATTTAGGTTTTGACACAGGTGCACGGAGATTACCAGTTAACTTATCGAAAGATAGAAGACCAAAAGAAGAAGAAAAAAATCGTAAGTGTTACATGGATCACCCACGTGGTGCGGTCATTTAAAATTTCCTTGAGCTACAAAGGCTGATTGAGAAATGCATTTTTCAGGCCGCCCAACATCAAATTTCATAACATTACATAACAATACAAACATTTTACAAACAAATGACGAAATTATTTTCTTTCAATCAAAATGGAACGTGGGGTACAGAAAAATATCCCGTTATTTATTTGGATTATATTAGTTTCACATAATTTGACATCATTATTGCGTATTTATATGCTTTTGCTTTTTAATATGGTTTTTACATAATAAATTACAAGGACTTTTGGCCGAATAAAACTAACTTTTTCCGACCGCCTTGAACGGTGTTAAACTGTTGCAATTTTCACTGCAGTCGCCGCGTAATTATCCTATAAAACAGTCCGAAACACATTTCCGCGTTAAACTTCCTAAAAATATACATATTGCATGAGTATTATAAACTGGCCCCGTATATTGTTTATTAAATGTAAAATGGTGTTTTTCTCTCTTTTTAAGTTTATCAGTGTCAAATTGTAATTAATTGTAATACAATATTTCGCAAACCACGATGGTTTAAATTACAGAACAATATGCACGGTGACATAATATTAAAAATAATATACAGGGTTTATCAAATTTCATGTTACAATCAAGTTTTCCATGAAATACTTGTTTTTTTTTTTTCCAAAAACGACGTATGTACAAACTTTTTGTAATCCTATATTTTAAAATATTATGATATGGTACTACCTACTTCTGATTTTCAAATAACAACTTGTATTAAAAATTCCATAAATATACGAAGTTACAATTTAAATACATTTTGGTGTGTTATACTCGTTCACGAGATATTCTGCTTTTTGGTTTAGATCGGAAGAGAATTTTAGAACACTACTCAAACGCCGCGTGCTATACAGTAACGCGAATGATGCACCACTATTTTCCGTTTATCCAATCTCATAAGTAAAATATCTCGTCAACTCGTAGACGGAAATCAAGAATTTAGGTTTTTCAAGACTACAATTTATTTAAACTAATACTTCATGTACTATGGAATTTTTCATACATAGATATAGGTTACCGTTTGAAAACCAAAAGTGGATAGTCGTTTCACCTCCGAACATAAGGTTGGAATAATAAATACACTGTTAAATATTTAGAATATGCGATTCCAAAAAGTTAGTTACCAATTTTTTACACGGTAATTTTATCGAAGGATATCATCTTTATTCGGATATTCCGATATTCGCAATGGAAAATCTGCTCGAGTTGATATTGAAACTAACTGATATATATATATGTATCGATCGAACATTTTTTCTTTATAGCCCTTTTTTCTATATTCTAGAGACACTTTTACAGATATTTTTTACCAAAAATATCCGATGAAATAATCCCGATATCCGATATTCCGATATTCCGATATACGGCCGATCGGATCATGCCAATGTACTCACTACTAGTATCAAAGTTACAGTTTTTATACAATTATCAGTAGAGGATAATATTGTATTATATTTGGAGAACTGAGGTAAAAACATGTTTTAAATTTTAACGAATGTTTTGAAAAAAAAAACCAATTTTTCAAAAGTTGTTTGTAACTAGTTATATAAAAAAAAATAAAATACGATTTAACGATCACTAATTTTTTTTTAGATTCGACCATAGTGAGGAATGTATTGTTTTACAATGATGTTAATTTTTTTCTATTTTTTTTTTTATCTGTAAACAACTTTTCTACTAGAAGTCTTGCTCCAATGTGT